AAACTGTCTCTGAAAAGGGAGGAAGTGAACTTGCCAATAGTGAGTCAAAATGCAAACTTTGGTCTTCCGGAATGTAAATGTTTTATCATCATGCCATATCGCTTCTATTTTAACTGGATATATTTGCATTTATTTTAATTAAGATTAAATATCAGAATACAAGTAAAGTCCTTAATGTAGTGCTGAAATTTAATCTTCAGTAGTTATTTTTATTCTCTGTTCCTGCACAAGCTTTCCTTAACCAAAGCTCCCCAATCCTATCAAAACAAAGTTCCCTGGATAAGTACCAGATAGTATTCCTCTTGTTCTGGTCCTGCCTCAAAATATATTCTAACTCTCCTCTAAGTAATCCCTGATAGGACTATGATTTTCAGTGTGCACCAGAATACCTTCTCTTCAGAGAAGTCAGAAGATTCAACAGCCTCTTGGAATTCATAGCAAGGTAAAATCTCTCTGTGTCCCACTAAATTTAGTCTCCCAAAGTCCTAGAATTTGCTCATAAATACTTCAGGATTTTTGAATGAGGAACTTCAGTTGTAACCCCTAAGTATTCTGTTTGGTCAACTGGAAGGTGAAATGCAAAAATTTCAACAGACTCCTTAGAGACTTCTTATGCAAGTCCTTGAAACCACAAAATAAGAACCAGCTTTACGATTTGCCTTAGGAGGCTTCTCCTTAGAATCCAGCTCCAACCCACAGAAGTGAAGAAGGCTGGAGCCCCAGAAAACGCAGTAAGCCCTCTTGAAATCAAAGCAGGACAAGCATCATACCCACTATCACCTCAGTCAGAAGGCAGAGAGGAAAGAACATTTTCTTTCATCTTATCATTTACTGATAATTTCATCTGCCTCAGGCTAGATTGAGTGAACAACGCACTGTGATAACATTTTCAATTGATGTTCTTGTTGTAGGCGAATTGCTTGACTTCTCTGAACATCTGATTGGATATCCATAAGTAAGAAAGATAACTTGGAACGTAGTTCATTGTTATTATTCATTTTGGGGCCACACCTGGCCATGCTCGGGGCTGATTTCTGACTCTGTACTAAAGAATAGCTCTTGGGGTGCTCAGGAACCACAGACAGTGCCAGAGATAAAACCAGAGTCCGTCATATGTAAGGGAAGTACTTTATTAACCCTTATACTATCTCTCTGTCCCCTGTGACCCTGTAACATACAGTGTCTCTAGAGGTTTTAACTAGGATCAGTTAGCTGGTTTACAGTGACACTCAGCAAATGTTGACTCCTATTGCCTCACCTTCTGTTCATCGAACGTGATGCTTACAGATGCCACTGACTAGCAAGGATACAGAGATTGTAAGTGCGATCCTTCTATTGTGCTACCCAGCTTTGAAATGTCCATACCATATTCAGACCAGGTAACCAGTATATTTGCTAGTTCATGTCATCTTCCCCCAATAGAAAAATAATGTGACTGACATGTTTACTAGGTAGCCTAATACCCAGATGCTGCAACTTGTAGGTATTGTCTAGGAGAGGTAGAACTTGACATTAACTTCAAAATGCACTGTAATCTTGAAAACCTATCCCAAGGGACTTTCTAAATATTTCTTTATCAGTTGTGAATGTGGTAGTGGAAGAAGGGTTCAGAATGTGGAAATATGCAGGTGTTGATTATCTATCAAATGTTGTTTGGTGCCAGCCCTTGTCTAGGTGGGGAAGATACCAGGCTGACCAGGACAGCTGGGACTGGGCTCCACGTGGCACTTCAACCAGTGATAAAATATATAGCAAATAATAGTTTATAATACTGATTTCAGGCAAACAACATGTGAGACACTGCAGTAGTTGTTTTTGTGTTTGTTTGTTTGTTTTAATTTTTATTAGTGAAACACCATGAGGTACAGTTGTAGACTAACAAATTTTTGTGCTTGGGTTTCAGTTATACAATGATCGAGTACCCATCCCTCCACCAGTGCCCATTCCGCACCTCCAATGCTCCCAGCATCCCTCCCAACCCCCACCCCCATCCCACCCTGCCTCTGTGGCAGGGCATTGACCCAATGCAGTAGTAGTTTTTACATGTATGTTATTTTATCAAGGATCACATAAGCTTTAACATATTTTGTATTCTCCACTTTATAGATGGGAAAGCAGAGAGGTAAAATGACATATTCAAGGTCACATACACGATCAATATCAGTGAGGAGTCTGATGGGTCCCAGTAATTTCTGCGTTTTCTACTATCCAAAGATATTTTCTACAATGAAGCATGTGGTCAAAATCACTACTTATAAAACAAAAAGCAAATTGAAGGAAAGCAAGGAATCTAAATCTGAAGGTTTAGAAGAAATGGATGTAAGAACTCATCTTTGACACATTTAATCTTTAGTTTCCTTTTTCTATGCATGCAAGTGCATTCCCTTGGGAAAAGAAGAGGTTGTTTGAAAGTGAAATGACTGTGGATACTGTTGATAATGCTCAGTCTCATGAAAATCAGGACAAAATTGTGACCCTGATTTTTTGTTTTGTTTTGTTTGGTGGGTACAGCTAGCAGCGGTTAGGGCCTACTCCTGGCTCTGTGATTAGTGATCACTCCTGGCAAGGTTCAAGGAACTGTATGAGGTGCTGGGGAGCCAATCTGGATGGACAGCATGTGAGGCAAGTGCCTTGTTATTGTATTATTTCTTTGGCCCTTAAAAGCGTAGTCTTGAGATGATTATTCTAAGGACTGATTTCAATAAGGCATATGCAGTGATCTCTATGTGGGAATCCATTCATCTTGTTATATTTTGTATTTGTATACTCTCATGTTGATATGAGCAAATCCACAGAGAAATTGCATGTTGTTTCTGGAGATTTTCTAAAATCAAATCATTGTTAATTATCATAACAAATCAGGCCTTTGAAGCTGGTCTCCATGAATGGTCAGTGAGTATGCAGAAGAAAAATAATAATATTGGGGCTGAAAATGAAGAAAAAGACTTAATCTATTCCTGTAGTCATCTATTGTAATTCTTAGAGATCCCTTTAGAGATCTAATCCAACCAAATCAGAAACCAAATGCAGGGAGGAATTGCCTTATTGAAAGTTGCACATCTCATTGGTCAGCAAGACTGTTCTGTGCCCCTCTCTCATCCCCTCCATAGTGCCCTACACCCCCCCACCCTCATCCACTTGCCTCAACTGCAAGAAGCATTAATCCAAGGCTTTCAGCAGTGCCCATCATGCCATCTGAGGAGTCATGCTTTAAGACCACCTCCCTGTCTATCCTAGTTGGGCTCATTTTGCTCAGTAAATGGAGGGAGCCCCTTAGTTGTGGTCTGGGAATCACGGTATCACTGTCGTCCCATTGTTCATCAATTTACTCAAACGGGTGCCAGTAGCATCTCCATTCATCCCAGCCCTGAGATTTTTAGCAGCCTCTCCTTTCTCGTCTTTCCCAGTGCTGCCATATTGGTATTGGAGGCTCTTTCAGGGTCAGGGGAATGAGGCCCCAATATTGTTACTGTTTTTGGCATATCGAATATGCCACAGGTAGCTTGCCAGGCTCTGCCGTACAGGCGGGATACTCTCGGTAGCTTTCTGGGCTCTCCAAGAGGGATGGAGGCTTTTTCCTCTAGGAGCTTTGTTTTATTGTCTCTGGATCTGGCCATTGATGAGATTATATGGCCCAGGGGCAGTTTGTGGGTCCAGTAGCGAAGCTAGTGGAATGTGGGGGACCTGGGTGGAGGAGGCCCAGTTCTCATCTGAGCAGACTTGGGGATCTCAGCCACAGGTCCCACATACCTGGATTCCTCTGCCAGCTCCTTCATGCGTGAGGCTCATCCAAGCTTGTGGAGAGTGGCCTTGAGTATGGCTGTGACTGGGTTCTGGAGGTTTCTGGCTGCTGGAGTTCTGCCTGGTGTGGGGAGGGAGACTCAACCTGCTCCCCTTTGAGAGGCCCCAGTGAAGACAGCCTGACGCAGGGGCAGGAGGTTCTGGGATTACCCACTATTATAAAACTTTTGGTCCTGTAGAGTGAACCCATGTAGAAGTTACCAAATAATAAAGGCCCAGCACATCTGTGAGCACTAGCTTCAGGGAAGAACTTGTCTTGGTTATCTTATCAGAGTCTGCTTATTCTTAAAGAAAATAAAATTTCACTCGCTTATGAAAATCTTATAATTAGCTTGTTAACTCTGAAATGCTCCACACAGTTTCCTATTGTCTGTACAAAATGGAACACTTCAGATAAAAGTCACCAACCAGACACATTTGGCATTAACTTTTTAAGAAAAAAGAAAAATCATAATTCCTGACTATGATTCAATTATATGTCCCTTCAGTTGCACAGAGAGAGAGAGAGAGAGCTGAAAATATCAACATGCATTTCTTCTTCCCTAAAGCTAGCCTTACTCCATCTTTCATTCCACTCTTCATCCAGCAGATATTTGTTCAGACCTGCTAACTATTTGGTCCAAGACTATGTATCAGCCACAGTTTTGCCTGGAGGAATTCACTGGGCAGATGACACTCCAGTGGGTATAGAGCAAACGCTCTCCTAAACTCTAGAGGATGGGCACAGTTTAGGAGGGGCAGTGAAGGGACCAGCTATCTTTTCTTGACAACCAGGAAAGACTTCACAAAGGAAGTGTCTTTTAGCCATATCTTGGAGGACTAGAGGGCATTTGCTGAGAAGTGAAGATGGGGAGAGGGCACTTGGGAGCAAGGGAAGAGCAGGTGTAAAGACAGTCTCAGGGGAAAGCTTGATGTGGCTAGTGAATTAGGAGGAGGAGGAGCAGACAGGACTGTATGAACCAAGTTCAAAAGGTAGGTTGCCAAGCTATTACAGCTCCTTGGATCCAAGTGAAAGAACATGTACTTGCTAAACTGCCTGCAAGGATTTTTGCTCCTGTGCAGGCTTTAAAGCAACCAGATAAGGTATTCCACTTTAGGGTCATTTAATTAATGATTGTCAATATGAGACCTAGCTTTTGCACTTGGGGATGGCCTCCTATTTCTTAAGAAGAGACCGACCATGGAGAGCAACTGATCCAGTCTATAGCTTAGAAATAACAATTTCTATAAACATCTTCGGCTTTCTGAATTTCCTGATTTCAAAATTCTGTTGGTCTGCCAATGTTCCTGTAACACTGAAGGGGAATACAAGGTACTGGACTGCTTTGTTTGTTTTGGAGGTAAATTACAGATATTTGAAAGGTTCTAGCCTACTTTTTCACTAGAGGGTTTTAAAAAGAGAGTTTGAAACTGATTTGAATAGCAGCTCGTGTTCCCAAGAGTTTTGTGCTTTGGTAAGCAATGTTGGCTGATTATTGCCTCATGCTTTTCTGTAACAGCTGCCTGTCTCCTTTTAGAGATCTATTCTAGGGGGATTGTAAGAGCCACAGAAGGGAATTTAACTCCTGAATACTCAATTTATTTTGGCTAGAGATAAGAAAGAGCAGTGGTACAGTTGTGTTTGTTTGTTTCAGAAAGTTGGCAGTTGTTTGAGGCAAACAGTAAAAGGTTCTTTCTGTGAATTCAAAGGGACTTTTTCTAAAGTCATCCTCTGAAATTCACGTTCTCAATATTTTAATGTTTCTGCTTATCTGTGTCTTTGAGCTAATGTCGTTTTCAGTTAGAATTTGGCGTATCTTCCAAGGATGGACAAGTTATGGCCTATAACACAGCAATGTTTTTCTGTTTTCTGAGTCTCATTATAAATCCAGTTTGCTGCAAACTTTACTCATGCTCCTATTGTTGAATTTATATCCAATCAGGAAATTCCCTTTGCTCATACAGTGACTATTTATTTAATCTTATATGTACTTGGCACTTTAGAGTCCTGTGTATATTTATTTAATTTATGAAATTTAGTTTGCTACTCACCTCTAATTGTAATCAAGTGATTTGACAAAGGACTTTGATTTTGAGAGCTTCCTGTTCACGGTAGAAAAACAACAGAATTGACCAGGGAAGACTGAGGTCATTTTTTTAAGAAGCAAAGTGATGTTCCACAGGCCTGACTGAGTTTTAGGTAGAGATGTGTGGAATTTCCCACCCTTACCTGGACCCATTCCCTGACCCACCCCTCTTCTGAGAGGTGTCCTTGCTGGCAACTGTTCCTCAATGAATACATGCAATCCCTCTTACCAGAGTTTATAACTCAACACATCCCCAGTGGCTTTTCTGAATTCACCCCCGTAGGCTCATTCCCAAAGGCTTAAAGCTCAGTGTTCTGCAACTGAATCCCACATACCCAGTAAATCTGGGTTTCTCTTTTGCATGTAACATTTCTAACATTTTTTCACATGTAAGTAATACACATACTGACCTGAACAACACCAAATACTGATTGAGTCTTATTATATGTCAGAGACTGTTAAACTTTCCTCTCCTGTCTCCTTTACTGCCCTTTACACAATCTTGTCAGCTACACGTTTTCCTTCGTTTTACAAGTGAGAAAACTTAAGAGAGTTAATTCACCTGGGTAGTGGGGAGGGTATCCCAGAACTGGCAAGACACAGAACAAGGCTTAAAATTTGCATTTATTAATATCACAAATATTTGGCAGCTTCTCAGGAACAAAAGTTTTTCATGCCCATACATTCTAATATTTATATTACAGAACCCAGGACACATTGGACCAGGCCTAAGTTGACCCTAAACCAGAGAGGAAAGTATCCCCAGTACACACCTGTTTCTCTCTGCATCTGACTCGTTTAAAGAGAAGTGCTAACAATTACAGATCATGGTATAATCAATCTATCTCTTTAGGCAATGCTTTTAAAACATAAAACAAACTCATGAGGAATAATCTTAATGGAAAGCTTGTCAGTCTCATGATGACATTTTCATATCTGGGTACTTTTTCGTAACTAAGGAGAGCTTCTGAGGTTCCAACATGTATAATTATATATACACATAAAATGTTAACAAATGATGTATGTATCTAGTGCATGTGTACACTATGTATACATTAGGACAATGTTATACATTAGGACTTTACGTATACATGAGTACACTAGATAAAATCCATAGGGTCGTTGTCCTCTAGGTTGCTTCAACTAACTTCCACAGTGTGAAGTGAATAATTGAAGTTGAAAGTCTCCTGTGTGGGGCTGGAGCGATGGCACAGCGGGTAGGGTGTTTGCCTTGCATGCAGCCAACATGGCTGACACAGGTTCGATTCCCAGCATCCCATACGGTCCCCTGAGCGCCGCCAGGAGTGATTCCTGAGTGCATGAGTCAGGAGTAACCCCAGAGCATCACCGGGTGTGACCCAAAAAGAGAAAAAAAATGTCTCCTGTGCTCATATCCCCCATAACAATTGGTTTCCTTGCCTGGGAGATAAGATGGCTTTGGAAGTTGGAGAGCACTTTCAAGAGGGAAGAGCACATACCTTGCAAGAGGCCGCCATTTGCCTCTCTCTCTCCTACACTGCAGGGATGGCTCTGCCTACACTCAGCAATGCAGCTTCAAGCAACACTGAATTTCCAGGTCCTAACCCTGAAAGACTGACTGGCTCATGAAGCACCAGGAGCAGCCCCCGGGCTCCCAAACACAACTGGGAAGGTTCCTGCAACAACAAGATCATTGAGTTAGGAGGCAGGGGTAGTCGCTCAAGAAATATGATCATCCTGTATGATAATGTGTTCCTAAAGGTTTATTAAATCAAACTTGTCAACTTGTTCAGCAAGCATTTGGCAAACATCTTCCTTTCAGGCAGTGTACCAGAATAAGTAATAACTAGAAAGGTGAATGATAAGGGCCAAGACAACCTGAGAAATAGATGAATAAGAAGGTTGTTGATGGAAACCTATCCAGGAAGAGAAAGAAGGGTCTTTTTTGTTGGTTCTGACATCTTTGATATCAAAACCATAACTTAGTTTCCCCAAATCTCAGTCTTCTAGGGCTGTGACTGTTCCACCTTCACCTTTCACAAGTTTTGTTGCTTCGTCACAAATAAATGGATGTGTTAGTCCTTTTGTGTGTAAAGATTATTTATACCTCCTTCCTTGAGAATAATCTTAATTGTGTTTAGTTTCCTACTCTTCTAACGGCATTCCCTGATCTGGGTTCCTAGGTGAGGGCTCTTCTCCACCTCTTCTTTGGATATGACAAATCAGAGCAACCCCTGGTCACTAACAGCTTCTTTACTTAGAATATAATGCGGTCTTGTTGCCTTTGTTGTCTGACATTTTCTTAGGATCCTTTCTGGCATTATTTTATTTCATTATCCTGCATTATATTATTTAAAGGGGGGGTAACCTGCCTGAGAGTATTTCCTTCCTTCTTTACTTCATTCCCTCCCTCCTCCAGCTCTCCCTCCCTCCATCAGCCTTCTCTCTCACTTCCTTCCTTCCCTCCCTCCCTCCTTCCTTCTTTCTCTGAGGAGTCCCTCTCATACTGTCTCTTCCCTCCCTTCCTCCCTCTCTCCCTCCTTCCCTCCCTCCCTCCCTCCCTCCCTCTCTCCCTCCCTCCATCCTTCTCTCCCTCTCTTCCTTCCTTCCTTCCTTCCTTCCTTCCTTCCATCCTTCCTTCCTTTCTTCCTTCCTTCCTCCCTCCGTCCCTCCCTCCCTCCATCATCCTTCCTTACTTCTTTCTTTCTTTCTTTCCTTCCTTCCTTCCTTCTTTCTTTCCTTCTTTCTTTCTGTCTTTCTTCCTCTTTTTCTTTCTCTCCTTCTGAAGAGAACCCCTTTATCCTGTGTTATGTTTAAAGGGCGAGTCGCCTCCCTAGTTAGAAGGTTAAAGAAACAAGAACAGCCCCTTCTCTGAGGAACCCCTCTCATGCTGTCTCTTCCTCCCTCCCTCCCTCCCTCCCTCCCTCCCTCCCACCCTCCCTCCTCCCTCCCTCCCTCCCTTTCTTCCTTCCTTCCTTCCTTCCTTCCTTCCTTCCTTCCTTCCTTCTTTTCCTCCCTCCCACCTTTCCTTTCTTCCTTCCTTCCTTCCTTCCTTCTTTCCTTCCTTCCTTGCTTCCTTCCTTTCTTCTTTTCCTCCCTCTCTCCCTGTCATCTTTCCTTCCTTCCTTCATTCATTCCTTCCTTTCTTTCTTCCTTCCCTCCTTCATTTACTTCCTTTACTTCCTCCCTCCCTCCTCGAGCTCTCCCTCCCTCCATCATCCTTCTCTGTCTTCCTTCCTTCCTTCCTTCCTTCCTTCCTTCCTTTATTTCTTTCATTCTCACTTTCTTTCTCTTTTTCTCTCCTTTCTCCTGGCTCTAGAAGATATTAGCCTGTATGCTTGCCTGCCAGTCTTCTTCCTTCCATCCATCCTTCCTTCCATCCATCTTTCTTCGTCCTTCTTTCATTTTCTAATAAAATATTCTTGGGATTTTGGGAGGGGAGAAGGAAAAAACTACCTGAGTTTGTCTATCTATCTATCTACCTTTCCTCAAGGATGCAAACCATTCTCTCAGAACTTAGATAGACCTGTCAGATCAGAACCATTTCCTTATCTCGTCCCTGACCCTGGCATCAGATCAGTGTTGTGTCTTGTTTTGTCACTAAAAATATGCAACCTCAGGCAGGTTATTCCATCTGTCTAGACCTTAGTTTCCTGGGGTGAGACCAGGCAGGATGGGAAGGAGTAAGTTCTTAGTTACAACAATGGTGAATGCCACAAGCCGTGTTGAGACAGATCTGAAGCTCTGAACAAGTCCGAGTTTCTCCCCTAGCTGCACATCACCTGAAAACTCAAGGAGCACCTGGGTGTGCCCCAGCCTAATCTTTTTCTCTGCATAGTTAAACATTTTGATAACTGAACCCATATAATCCTGCAGCCATCTTAGGGACACAGATCTCCTTTCTCATACAGTCATGGATTTGGAGTCCCGGTATCTCTGGGTGCATGGCTCTGCAGAGACCCCAGTTTTCCTGGTGGTGGAGAGTTTGGTTGAACACCAGCTTTGTTCCTCTGGAGGCCTCGGTGGGTGCCTGAGTTCAGAGATTCTCACTGTCTCTGGCCCCGAGTCTTCCTCAGAAGCCTGGCTGCACCAGATCAGCCCTCATTGCTTCCCTAACTGCTTTAACAGAGCACAGTGTCTTACAGCCCTGCTGACTTTCTTGCATTTCCATCTCTTCTTTCTTCTTGTCCTCGCAATGTTTGACACACTTTTTTCTAGCAGGAAACCAAACCCTGCAGAGCGACCCTGCCATTGCTCAAGCAGGTCA